GTGGATAAACAGGTCAGTCACATGCAAGAGAGGGCCATCGACAAACAATAGGTTTAATTAGCTCTACTGTTTATAGAGGGTGTGCCCCATCACCTGACTTATTGGTTTGGATGCTGTGGTTCTTAGGTGTCGTGTCATGTGTATGTAGTGAATGCAGGCGGGGCTCAAAGTCCCCTTGTTTTTGTTTTTTACCTCTTTGTGTTGACTCGTTACGTGTCGTCACTCACAGGTAAACAAAAAGAAAAATAAATAGGTCCTCTGGATGGGTTCTTCTGTAATGAAACGTCTCTCCTCCAAGAGACTTCTACAGTCTGAGGAGTTTCAGGTGAACTCAGCCTTATAAGCTCCGCCTCCACATGGTGGACAAACAGGTCACAGAGGGCCATCAGCCAAACAACAGGTCGTTAGAGCCTTGATTAATCTTTATTAGTCTCTCAGAGGAGAGACGAATCGTTTCATTAAAGAAGAACCCGTCCCGTTATTTTTCTTTTTGATGTTTTCTACCTGAGACTCATCAGGACGCTCACAGATCTGTGAGGTTCTGGATCAGACAGAGTCCTGGTTTCTGTGGTCTCTGCTGGACCGGCCTGTGATTAATGCTCCAGCTGAGTTTCTCAGAGATAAAGCTCAGATCCAGGAAGCCCAGTTGTGTCCCTCACCGCCACGGGACCAGGTTCCAGTGGAACTGGGGACTTGGTTCTTGGTGGGTCCACCATCACTCTGTGTGTGTTAGCTCGAAGCTAACGACTCTAAAGTTGAACTTTGTTTTCCCGGTGAGACGTGGTCGCCACGCCGTCAGTCTCTTCCCGCTCTCCTCCGCTAGCGGTTGCCGTGGTTACCGATGGTGTTTTTTTTTTCTCTGTGAGGGAGCAGGTCGGTTGCCAAGGTTACAGCCGTCTGTCAGTCACAGAGAGGAAACAGATGAAGGTTTTCTGATGTGATTCTTTTCATCCGAGGCAGATCTGAAGGAGGCGGGGCTTCAGAGCCCGTCTCCCGCAGCAGAGCATGCTGGGAGTTCACCCGATCTCCGTGCTTGATTGCCAAATTTTTTATCTCTCTCTCATCCCTCCATCTCACCAGACTTATCATCTTTTTTCATTTCTGCTGATTTCGCTCCCCCTCTCACAGAGAGCAGGATATGAATTGTGGATAATAAAAGCAGCACTTTGAAGGTTTTGGTAATAAACTCTGAACTGATCTTTGATAATAATCAGCCTCCAGGAGTCAGGAGAAATGGAAAATTTGGATTTTCTTCTTTAACCAGAAAAGATTTCTGAGTGATGGCTTCCTCTCAGGAAAACACAAATACTAATTTAACATTTAACATGTTTTAATATTTATTTATTATCTAGAAAATCCATGAATAAATTATAAAAGGTGAAACCGCTGCACAAAATTCAAACATAACTAAGAAAAAACGATTTCAAACATCTTGATTTATGAGCTGTAGAAGTGTCGAGAGAATCAAGACTGAAAGAAATGTTAAAGTGCCTCTGACATAAATTCTTTGAAATATACTGTATATGAACGCATTTTTAGAAAGAGGACTTTGATAAAATATTACAAAAATATTTCACGTCTCTGAGATGAACGGTTGTTGAGATATTTGCCTGTGAAGAAACAGGAAG